AACTCAACTTGACTAAATTTCTTATGGCAAGTCATCACCCACCGGAGCAATAAAATCTCCCATGGCTATCGAAGTCCATGCACTTGTACAGAATCAAAACCTCTAGCTGTGTACACCATGCCGACAAATGGCTCAAGACACCCAGCCATTCGGTAGCTAAAGAAAACCCCACATGCCTCGCCCCAAGGCTGAATTGCTCAGAATTGTGTTCGGCAGCTCCTCCGGCGGCAGCTATATTTTGTCTTTTCTGGAAGCTCCAAATCAGCAACTCTAAGAGCAGCTCCAGAAGCTCCCAAGTCTGCTAACTCATGGTTGGTCTTTGTCCTAATCATCGAACGGTACATCCATCCAAGATATTGCTCAAGGCGCCCAAGAGCCTTGAGAGATCACCATCTCCATGACGTGTGACCAGCTTTCGAACAGTAACTTCACAGTTAGCTTCAATGGGCATACCTCTCACTCTTATCTGAAGGCACATCACCAAACGGCAACACCGATGGACCTCGTCTTCGGTAACCACCCACAGAGGATGAAGGCACCTGTTCGTAGTTAGCAAATCATATTACCGTTCGGTCCATGTTGCTCGACCAGCTACCGAACGGTAGCCATGCCATTGGCTTTCTCAAAGCACCCACTTGGTCGAAATACCGAACGGCACACAAAGTGCAACATGGATACAACATAAATATGCCCTCGGCAAAACATTTCAGTCACTCACAAAGTGACCAAGAGGTACAACTCATACCACAATGCCTTTCAGCACATAAGCATCATTACATGCGCATCATTGCCATCAGCACATCTACATCATCATCATTCGGATCATTGCCTTCGGCACATATGCATCATCCCATAAACATGATTGCCTTCGGCACATCCATATTTACATCAAAGAAAACCCAAGACTATTAGCCATCGGCAATAGCCATTGGTAAAGATCATCGGCTTACACGCCAAAGAAAAGAAGATCTAAGCCTATTAGCCATCGGCAATAGCCATTGGTAATGACCTTCCACAAAAGCTCAAAGACCAAGAGCTACCGTTCGGCAAACCATATCAAATCAATTGCTCAAGATATGCAAGATGTCCAAGTCAAGACAAAGGAGGCCAACCATTATTTCAATCCAATGGGAAGCTCACGTGGTTCACTCTCCAGGAGACAAGACACCCATACACCTACCGTTCGGTAGGACATGGTTGAGCTAAGTAACGTGCCCAGACCTCCTGCTGATTGGCAATTCAATACATTATGCCTCACAGCTGATGACAGCCCGTCATGGCTCCGAAACCTTCTGAACTTGCTGGAGTTGATTCATCTTCAGCTCACTCCATCGAAGCCCCTCTCACTTGTCTTGCCGTTCGGCAAATCAAGATAATTGAGCCAATAGACTCCATCCTCAGCAATTGCTCCAATATTTCAAAGCAGCAGAGCACATGCGTCCACAAAGGCACCAAGTAAATAACCCTGCGTCAAAGCTATGCAGGGGGACTTGTCCCACTAATGGCGAATCAAACTACCGATCGGCACTGCAAATTACAGTCTTACTGGGCTACCTCTCATCTCTGCTAAAATTCCTCAGGTGGACCAACCAAGAGTGCCAAGTTTTCAAGTTTTCAATAATCCAAGGCTACAGATCAAGAAAAAGGAGAAACGACATTGTTACAAAGCTCATCAAGTGAAAGGCCGAAAGCATAACTCCACTGCTTCCACAACGGATACCGTTCGGGAGCTGGTCTTCCCCATCATGAGCTACGCTCTCGACACCCGTCATCCTACCGTTTGGGAGGTCGACTTCCGAGCTTGCAAGAGCCCCCAAATCACCTATATCAGATTTGCGATTCACTTACCATTCGGTAGGAAGGCAAAGCTCGACATGCCCAGCGGCAAGCCACGATCAAGCTGTCAGCCTCCCACCATGGTTTTCGATCAGCAACCTTGGATATCACAAGCTAGAGGAGCTACTTCTCATCGGAATATTAACCTGCCGTTCGGTAGGAAATAGCTTCCTTTCGCAGAAGCATCACAAAGCCCACTCTCAGCCCCCAAGTGCTTTAACAAACGGTACCTCATGTGGCTCCGAGTGCAGATCAACCTTTATTGGTCTCTGAAATCAATATTGCCAAACGGCACCCTGCAGCCTTTGTGTGACCTCTTCTCCATCTCACCCTTATCGTTCGGCAGGTCCAGACAATTGGGCTAAGAGGCACGGACAGACCACTACCAAACAATAATCCTTCTTACAGAAGTATTACCCTGGTGGAATTATAAGAAGACATGGATGGCTCTATAAAAATCTGCAAGCCTCACTATGCCGAACGGCACCCCAACATTCTCAAAAATTGAAGGGCCCCATCGGTAGTCAAAATACCCACGGCCGAATTATGGGCTTCATTACTCAGAGCCATACTGAGTTAATGAGCCCAGCCACCTCTCAAAATTGAAAAGGGCACATGCATGATTTCATCCAAAGCAAGCACTACATGCCTTATTAAAGTCTTCAGCAGTAACCACTAATCTAGTGGAGGCCCACTTGTGGCACTTGGCATTTATGCACCCGAGATTATTAGCCATCGGCAATAATTATTGGAGAAGATCATCGGCATATACGCCAAAAGAAAAACCCAAGATTATTAGCCATCGGCAACAAACGTTGGTAAGCTTGTTCTATAAGTTTTTGTTATTCGGCGTGAGCGGTGCCTTCGGCACCCCACCATCATTCGACGAGCGCGATGCCTTCGGCACCCCGTCATGATTCGGCGAGTGCGATGCCTTCGGCACCCCGTCATCATTTGACAAGAGCGATGCCTTCGGCACCCCGTCATGATTCGGCGTGAGCGGTGCCTTCGGCACCCCGCCATCATTCGATGAGTGCGATGCCTTCGGCACCCCGTCATGATTCAGCGAGTGTGATGCCTTCGGCACCCTCTCCATCATTCGACGAGTGCGATGCCTTCGGCACCCCGTCATCATTTGACAAGAGCGATGCCTTCGGCCCCCTGTCATCATCCGACGACAGCGATGCCTTCGGCACCCCATCATCACCTTTGGCACCCTGCCATCATCCGACGAGAGCGATGCCTTCGGCACCCTGTCATCATTTGACAAGCGATGCCTTCGGCCCCCTGTCATCATTTGACAAGCGATGCCTTCGGCCCCCTGTCATCATTTGACAAGCGATGCCTTCGGCACCCTGTCATCATTTGACAAGCGATGCCTTCGGCCCCCTGTCATCATTTGACAAGAGAGATGCCTTCGGCACCCTGTCATCATCCGACGACAGCGATGCCTTCGGCACCCCATCATCACCTTTGGCACCCTGCCATCATCCGACGAGAGCGATGCCTTCGGCACCC